TCCTTATTGCCTCCTTAAACCCTGGGGGGTAGCTTTGGGAGGGGGGGGGTACTATTCCCCAACACTACTGAGGGTCCTTGGCCATGAATTTTCTCATTTTGTTTGAAGAGTCCTTGTGCGAAGTCGCTGCAACCATCAACCCAGACCCCCTAAAGGATCCAAAAAATGCAGACCCCCCCAATGTGAATCCAGAACTACAACACTGGGGAAACTAGGGGATTATCAGGGGTTCCGTTTTTGTTGGATCCTTGAGGGTTTCTGGGAAACAAGGGGAAGAGAGGCCCATTTTACAGTTCTCACCTACAACTCGGATGAGAGTCTGGTTCATGATTCTGGCGAGGCGCATATCCGGTTGCTGCAGTTGCCGTCAGTCCTTCCCCACCGTTCCCTTGAGGTGAGTTTCAGCGCTGCTGTCCCGTCACGAAGAATTGGCACGTTGCGGCTCAAACAGTTGGTGGCCATTACGAAAGTGCCTAGCTAGGATCCAGCTGAGCAACCTGCCAAGATGTCCAATGCCTTGGCTGACCGTGCCTACAGCGAAGGCAACCGGATCCAAGTTGGGTACTCGAAGTCAGACCGCTCAAGCTGCAAGCAATGCGGAGACGGAATTCTCAAAGATGCTCTTCGGATTGGGCAACTCGTTGGTAGCCCAGCCAACGGCATCGGGCCCAAGTGGTGCCATCCAGATTGCTTCCTTGCGTTCATCAAGAGCCGCTTGGCGAAGTCAGGCGAGTGGTTCCAGAAGTACGTCCCTGTGGACCCGGAGCAGATCCCAGGCTTTGGAAGCCTGACTGCAGATGACAAAGCAAGGATCAACGACTTGGTGGCCTTGGGCAAGAATCCCGTGCGGTATGTGGTCACAGTGACGGAGTCACACACAGAATCAGGTGATGTGCAGCTCATGTGCACCAACATGTCTGGGGGCCTTGTGTGCCCCAACGTGCGGGCAGAGGACCGCGTAGTGGCCAATCTTAGAAGGCATGTGGCCAAGCAGCTTGGGAAACGCGAAGAAGAGGTGGAACTTGTGTGCACAGACGGCTCTTTGTTTCAGGCCTCCAGCCAGACTCGCACCAAGAGGAAGGCTTCAGAAATGGCAACTGCCATGGCAGCTTCTGCTGGCGGCGCATGACTGCTGCAAGCCAAGAGCTGATAGGCGTGATCTCCGAGGGGTTTCAGCAAAGTACTCCAAAAAACTGGGGGTGGGTTTCAGGCGAGTGCTTGCCTTTACGTCCTTGCTGTTTCACGTGAGCTAGAGTCTAAATTCCTTTAAGGGGGGTTTATTTTATACATTGAATTGTCTAGGGGAGTACCTATTAAACAGGTTGTTAAGGGAGACACTAGGAGTTTAGGTCATAGCTCACATCACGAGATGAAGCGTTGTGACGCCTCACGTGCAAAAAACGCTGCCGCAGGTTCTTCCCTTGCGTTTGCTAGCGTGACCAAGCTCCTGGGTGACCAATGTCCGGGTTTAGGGTCTATAGGGTTTAGAGCCTAAAGTCTACGTAGGGTTTAGGGTTTAGGGGCTCTTCTGCCCACATAAAGCAGGCAATCCAGACTCGGTAAGTCTCCAAACACATTCAGCATAGCTTTCTAGTGCGTAGATCTTTGCGCAAACCTGTATATCACTCCACTCGCGCACTCCCTTATTCCCTCCTATTAGCCTGTCAGTTAATTCTGTGCCAGGGAGTCGGATGCGTCGGCGGGCTCACTACCCGTGGAGTCGGAGTCTGGGTGCCCAGGGGCAGATACGGAGGCTCTGTGGTAGGAATTTTATTGGGTTTAGGGTTTAGGGGTTTAGTTTAGGGTTTTAGGATTATAGGGGTTTATGGCACATGAAGGTATATGAAGTTGTGTTTTCTGCTTTGAATATGCCTATTGGCAACTGCGTAGCGCTTTTCCTGGCACGTTGCGGCTTGCGTATGTATATGTGGTCTCTCTTCCCTCTCAATTTTCATGCTGCAGTAGTCTCTTGCTTTGTAGAAGCCCTGCATCTAAATCCAGATGGACTAGTTTCCATAAATCGGAATAACCCCGATATAGACCTCCAAATACTGCAGCCTTGTTATGGGACCCCAAATTGGCACACCTACTTGTGGGAAACCCGCATGTATCTCAGAAGAATGTGTTCTCTTGTTGGTTCAACCTTCTTGCATCGGGTCTGTATCATGTATCAACTTATAACACATTGTGCTCAGCCCCGTTCTGCTACTGGAAGAAGTTATGTTAGGTACATTACACCGTCCTGCTGCTACGCAACATTGCCACCCCTAAGCCCTAAGCCTAAATCCTAAACCGTTGACCTAAACCCTAAA